GCGGGTTCAGGAACCCCCCAAAAAAACCAGTTAGCCTTCGGAGGAGTCCGCCACGGCGCGGTCGGAGTCGAGAAGCCGAGGACAGGGCCAGGAACGAGCAGCGTCTCGGGAGACACGAGCAGCGTTGCCGCTTCGTGCACACCAATAGGGGAAAAAAGAGGTTCGGTTTGCAGGGACCTAACTTCGGTTGCAGGGACCGAAGTTCGGTTTGCACGGAACACCCAAGTATTCGAATTGTTAGATCGTGGGAACTGAACTAGAGATACTAGGGGTGGCTGATCTCGAGTGTTTCCTTGCGGACTGATAGACAAATCGATAGACAGAGCGAAAATGGAGCGATTCTGGAAAAAAAGAAGTTCGGTTTGGAGGGACGGGACTTCGGTTACAGGGACCGAAGTTCGATTAGCAGGGACGTGACTTCGGTTACAAGGAACGAAGTTCGGTTTGCACGGAACATCCGAGTATACGAATTGCTAGATCGTAGGAACTGAACTTGAGATACTAGGGGTGACTGACAGGAATAAAGCGACTTGATTCCTTGATTTTATTTAATTCCGAGAATTTCCCTGCAGACTGATCAATGAAGTTGATCGACAAAGCGATAGAAAAAGAAAAAAAGAAAATGGAGCGATCCCAATCCACAAGAAACCCTGAAGTTAGTCAATCATTTTCTCCTTTATTCTGAAGAAACTGGAGTCCTGAGACAGTGGCCCTTCCCTGGCCTCTTGGTGACAGGTGAAAACGTTTACTTTCGAGAGTCCAACAATTCCGTATGGATTTTTATACTCGAGGAACTGAACTAGAGATACTAGGGGTGACTTACAGGAATATGGTGTCATGATTCCTTGATTTTAAACCTCCCTGAGAATTTTCTCGCGGACTGGTTAATGAAACTGATAGATAAAAGCGATAGACAAAGCGCAAATTGACCGATCCTATCAGTGGAAGGGGGTGTTCGCCACCGAAGTTCGATTCGCACGGAACATACGAGTATTCGAATTGTTAGATCGTAGAAACTGAATTCGAGATACTAGGGGTGGCTGACAAAAAAGAGGTTCATTGCTTTTTGTCATTCTCGAGTGTTTTCTTGCGGACTGATAGACAGAGCGAAAATGGAGCGATTCTGGAAAAAAAGAAGTTCGGTTTGCAGGGACGGGACTTCCATTACAGGGACCGAAGTTCGGTTTGCACGGAACATCCAAGTATTCGAATTGTTAGATCGTAGGAACTGAACTAGAGATACTAGGGGTGACTGACAGGAATATAGTGTCAAGATTCCTTGATTTTATTCATTCATTTTCTTGCGGTCTGGGTAATTCAACTGATAGACAAAGCGATAGACAAAGGAGACAAAGCGCAAATTGAGCGACCTTATCAGTGGAATGGGGTGTTCGCCACCGAGATCGGTTCGCACGGAACATCCGAGTATTCGAATTGTTAGATCGTAGAAACTGAGCTCGAGATACAACGGGTGGCTGACAAAAAGGAGGTTCATTGCTTTTTGTCATTTTCGAGTGTTTTCTTGCGGACTGATAGGCAAATCGATAGACAGAGCGAAAATGAAGCGATTCTGGAAAAAAAGAAGTTCGGTTTGTAGGGTCGGGACTTCGGTTACAGGGATCGAAGTTCGGTCTGCACGGAACATCCGAGTATTCGAATTGTTAGATTGTAGGAACTGAACTAGAGCTACTAGGGGTGACTGACAGGAATATGGTGTCATGATTCCTTGATTTTAAACCTCCCTGAGAATTTTCTTGCGGACTGGTTAATGAAACTGATAGACAAAGCTATAGACAAAGAAGAAAAGGAGAAAATGGAGCGATCCCCAACCGACAAGAAACCGTGAAGTTAGTCGATCATGTTCTCCTTTTTTCTGAAGAACCTAGAGTCCTGAAACAAAGAAACCCTCCCCTGACCTCTTGGTGACAGGTGAAAACTTTTACTTTCAAGAATCCAACAAATCCTTATGGATTATTATACGGCAACGACAGTCATCACTCTTTTTTTCGGCTGTCGACCTACCGACTAAGTGGATGATGAGCTTCGGGTGACGTCATGAGCCAAAAAGTTTACCAAACTTTGGTTGTTCGCAGAACGAGACTACCAACACGTTATATTCAACATCCACCTGGTAGATAGGCCAACAGTTGAATGTTGAAGTCCCGAGAGTAAAAGCTTCCACCCTTGCCGAGCTGTCAACGGAGGGTATCTTGTCTCAGGAAGAACCACTCGTTTCGGCCAGTAGCGTCACTCCATTTTCCCATTGTGTTGCTTGTCTATAGCTTTGTCTATCAATTCACATGATTAGCCTGCTGATTTTGCTCGATACAATGAGAAAAATGTCTGTAGAACGGTCGGAACTGCTATTTTCCTGATATGAGGCCGTCCGCTAAAGAGGGGCCATTGGTTAACAGAAGCAAAAACTCAGTACAGGGTCGCCGCAGAATTTAGAAAATAAAATTCCCTGCCATTACCCTGATTTCCCTGACACATTTTGATGAAATTCCCTGACTATTGCAAATATATGCCAGATAGTTATTAGAGCATTATTACGAATAGTTTTCGGACAAAATGAGTTCTTCGAAACGTCAAACCCATTCCAGACAGCAAATAAACGTGAACCAACAATTTTTCCTGACATTTTCCCTAACATTTCTCGGTTTTCCCTGACTGTGGCAACTCTTGTCAGTAGCGCAATTTCTTCCGAGAAAAAAAGAAAACTCGTATCTGTAGCTTTCACTTGCGACTGTCTTAGGCGAAGGAATGGTTTCAGGGATTTTCCTACTTTCCTTGGCAACCTCGGCCCTTGTTTTCCTCGCATGCAAGTCCCCTTGGGACTGTGGTAACCCTGATTTGAACTGTGTAAATACGTTTCTGTAAACTCGGTCCGATCATTTCCATCAGACAAAAGATCATTGAAAAAGTATCATCTTGAGTTGTGGTCTTACCTTCCATCTTTCGGCGCACTTTTTGGAGAATTCGGCGAAGACTACGTTTTCAGTGGGGTGCTTCTTCTTGTGTTCCTCTCGGCACGTCTGAACGAAGAAAGCGTAGGCGGTCATACGACCCCTGGGCTTAGCGTCTGATTTACCTCCTCTAGGCATATTTCTTTGTCTGTTCTGAAACATAGCAAAGAGAAAGTTAGAAACATCCAGCTGGAATAGACATCACATAACGCAACAAGAGAGTTTACATGGTATATGACAGTGGTGAGAATTTGTACGTGATTCCGAGTTGAAATAACATAAAGGACGGGAGCGAACTAACAGATGTGCAAAACAACGCAACTGCAAGTTGGGGCATCTAATATCAACGCACTGGAAAAAAAACTTATGGACCTAGAATCCAGACTCTTGAACACATTGACAAGAAAAAATACTCTTGATTCAATCAATCAGATTTTTGCTGAAATCAAGAGCCAAGCCTCTTAATTTGGAACGGAAATCCGCTCAAATTAAGAGGCTTGGTACTTGATTTAAGCAAAAATCCGATTGAATCATGAGTATTTTTTCTTTTCGATGTGTTTAGGAGTCTGGACTCTAGATCCAATGTGTTTTTTTTTCCAGTGCATTTGGGAACCATAGTGATCGACGTCACCTATCAAGCGGGGTTGCCATAATTTCTTCATGTTCAAAGTCCATGACTTTTCCTAACTTTTCCCTGGCTATTTTGGCTTTTCCCTGACTCCAAAATCATCGGATTCCCTGACATTCAAATGAAACTTCCTCTTCGATGTTTTCCTTTAAGTTACCTACTCGCACTTCTGATAAACGCACCTCGCAGAATTTTCCCTAATTTTCCCAGACATTCGAATAAAACCTCCTCTTCGATATGTTTTTCTTTAAATTACACTCACATCTGATAAACGCACCTGGCAAAATTTCTTGACTATTTCTGTGAATTCCTGGACTTTTCCCTGTTTCCTGATAATCAATGGCTAATAGTCAATGGTATTTTTATACGTGATTTTTCTGGGGGAAAAATATACACATTCATTCTCGGGAGAAAACCCAGTTATTACTCGCGGCAAAAACAACCACAACAGAAAAGAAACGTTGTGCTAGCGTTATGCGTTACACAACTTGTAGCAGCTCGTGCTACGGGCACTTCTATCTATAATCATTACGAAACGTGAGCAATACATTTGACAATTTGAGTACGATAATTGCGCACCCTAAAAGCTAGACCTGCTACATCCATTCCCATGCTTCCAAATTGTGCTTCCTCACGATCATTTTCTCTGAAAAGCTCAAATGAAATCATCACGACTTAGCTTCCATTAATTCCATCAACACATGACTGGTATACCCACTGGTATATCCCTGACGCATTTGAGTAGAAGTCCCTGACGATGGGAGATATGCCATAAGGCCAAAAAGACATAATTTTTGGTAGTTTCCAGACAAAATTTAATGTTCTACACGTCAAATCCACTCCAGATGCTAATAAAAGTAAATTAAAAAATTTCCTCGACACTTTCGTAATTTCCTCTGACATTTCCATGTTATCCCTGACTCATAAAAATTCCCTAACATTTCCCGGTTTTCTCAGTATTCCCTGACTGTGGCAACCCTGTCAAATCCATTCTGGAAGAAGAAGAAAGGAAATTTAACAATTTTTCCCTGACACTTTCGTCATTTTCCCTGACTAATAAACAATCCCTGACATCCCTGAAAAATACTAATTTTTCCCGGACACTTCAGTCGTTTTCCCAGTCATTTCCCGGCTTTCCCTGACCGTGGCAATGGGCCTGTTGCAAACTTTTGCTAGAGCAAAAATAAGAGTTGTTTCTTGTAGATAATGCCTCAAAAATCACGATGAGCGCATCGGCAAAGTCTGAAATGCACTCATAACTTCACAATCTGCGTAAGAAATTTGCGTTTTTTTAAGCTTCCCGCTTCAAAAACGATACTACGGCACAGGTGAACATTTTGTTAGAAGAGTCGCTCCATCGTCGGCGATATTCATCATGGCCGACGCTTGCGCGCAGTTCGGCGCGTAATTCGAGGAGAGTTCAAGGTCAATCAATTCGGGCGTGGAAAATATGAACGTTAACACACCGATTGTTATCGGTCTAATCCAATTCAGGTGTTATCTCGTCCCATCAAACGTGTTTTGGCGGATTGGCGTCGGCCATGATGATTATTGCCAACGATGGAACGACTCCTCTTACAAAATGTTCACCTGTGCCGTAGTATCGTTTTTGAAGCGGGAAGCTCAAAAAACCGCAAATTTCTTACGCAGACTGTGAAGTTATGAGTGCATTTCAGACTTTGCCGATACGCTCATCGTGATTTTTGAGGCATTATCTGTAAGAAACAACTCTTATTTTTGCTCTAGCAAAAGTTTGCAACAGGCCCATTCTGTAAATTGGACCAGTCAAAAAATGATAAAATGCATGCCTAGACGAGAAAGATTCGGACGACTTAGATGTTGGCTTTCGTTTTTTTAAACAGTTGAGCATGCACCCGAGTTCGAGGCGTCAAAATTTGGCAATGGTGTCGGGGCAGGGCGGGACTGAAGCTAAAGTGCCAGCGGCGAATTTAAGTGGTTGCGCGGCGCGGCGCAGTCGTGCCAACTCAACCGGGATAGCCGACCGAATAAACGCATTCGGACGCGAGGAAAAACGACCATTTTTTAGAGTCACCCGACCGCGATGCCCGGCGCGGGTGCGGCGGAACGATGCCAAATCTCCTTAAAATATAAAATTTCCACAGGCTCATGAGTAAAAATATCACTAAATTTGCGAGATATTGGCAATGGGGTCCGTGCGGTTGGCGCAATATATCAAGCGTTTCCGTAAATGCCAGCGCTGCCACTATACCGGGACCCTACGAGGTAAAAAGTAAATAAGGCGGGGGGTTTTGGATCAGCACCAACGGGCAGCCCTGGCGGACCCTGATGACCTGGGCTCTGGCCTTTGGGTGTGCAGCAAAGGCTTGGTGCTTGGACGTGATGCTGGGTCCAGCTCTGGACGTTGGCAGAAATCAGATATTTTTTTAAAGCGCATGGATCCTATTTTTGAAAGCAAAGTGACGTGCAATTTCTGTCCGAAATTTTGCTTATTTTGACGCGTCAGAGAAGAAATCAGTAATGTCTTGGGTTGAAACCGAAAGAGACGAAGTCACTTTTAGTTAAACCTTAATTAACTTTCATAAACTTTGGGTGGACTTTCATTTTGAAGCAGGAGAATTCAGAAAGTGCTATACATCGTATTTGGACGAAGGAGCACAACTTCACAATACGAATGCAAACATGTACATTGTATATACGTGCAATTTTGGTCCAAACTTTTGCTGATTTTGGCGCGTAATCAGAGAAGATCTTAGTAACGTTTTCACTTGGAAACTTCAGACTCATCCCTGGTTAAAAGTATCATTGACACGGGAAAAGAAGTCCCTTAGATCATGAGTCTAGACTTTAAAAAATCGGAAAAAACAACTCTTGATTCAATCGAATTTTTGCTTAAATCAAAAGGAAATCCGCTTAAATTAAGAGACTCGGCTCAAGCGAATCAAGAGTATTTTCTCTTATCAATGTTAAGAGTCTGGACTCTGGATCCAAGAGACTTTAATTCAAGGGGACGAGCAGAATAATTTTGCAACGTTGGAATGTAGTAACTTCATCTGATAAAATAGAAAAGAAAAAAAATCTTGCGGAAAAATTGCCGCTATCAAAAGAAAAGATGCACTACTTTACGAGATCCCGTCTCATCTGCGGCCTGAGTGGCCTGACAGTTTTTCACCAAACAAATTTCCATTCATAAATATTTATGCTCGATGTTTGATAATTTCGTGTTGAGACTAGGCTAGATCTCACGAAAAACATGACAACCTCCCTGAATTCAAAACAATATGCAAGTGCGGGGTGATTGACGCACAGTAGGTCGCAAGAAAGACGATTTGAGCGGGAGAAAATTCACAGGAGAGTACGGAATTTCCAAAAAAGAACAATAATTCTAAAACCATGAAAATGTTCCAAAATTTCAACATTTTCATTCAAGTTGTATTTCCTCATAATCTCTCGACGAATAGAGTACCTTAGTTATTTGCGATTCCAGGATGTCTACTAAAACAGGCTGACCAAAAATCAGTACTAGTACGGTACATTCCCAAGGAATTAAGTACCTTCTCGACAGAAAAATGCAGTACTTTTTCAGTACCTCCAATTGACGAATTTCGAAAAATTGCAAAAATTTGGATTTCCCGCTCAAATTGCGACGCAAATGAAAAAAATTTCGGACCTTTTTACGAATTTCCCGCAGTTTTTCAGTACTTCCGGACCTCCTTCAAAAAATCAGTACTATTTCCGGACTTGTACACACCCTGGATTCTCAATTAACACAGAACCGGCGGCCTGTAGCCTGCTGTGCGACGGCGTTACCGAACCGTAGATTTCGTCATCATGCGGAATTCGATCCAATACTAAACAAAGACGAAAAAATTGGCGGTCAGAGTGATGAGACAGCCGCTTAGTACACCCTCGACTATTGCTTGGCCAAGTTTCAGACTGATGACAGCGGATCGTGTTCGTGTTCGCAACACTGACACACTCGAACCGAAAAGTGAAGAGTGAGAGGTTACGAGAAAGTGAAAGAATGCGGCGACCGCGTCTCTGTGATTTGCACTTCAAAAGAGCGAAAAACATATGCAAAATCGAACTAACGGAAAAATAAAGAAAAATTGGTGACTTTCGTCGGGCTATACTTTTATACTGCCGTGCTAAGAAAAGACGCCGTATGAACATTCGAGAGTTGCCAAATTTCCTTCGATAAATAGTTCATTTTTGAGGAGAGTCATGAATAAACTTCCGAGAAATTTTTCGGGGACTTCAGGTAAAATAGCGAACGAAATTATCTGAAAAATTGGAAGAAAAATATTCAAAAATTTTCCCGAAAATTCGCGATTTACTTGAGGAAATTTAGCAACGCCTAAAGGTTCATACGGCGTTCTTCCTTAGCACGGCAATATAGACCTTTCATTATTGGTTGAAGATTTCGTTTGACTTATTTCAATGAATCCTGGAAATATATCAATATTATCAGGGCAGTAATTTCTTCGAGCACGCTTGTGATTTCAGGGTCTAATTTCGGGCACATTTTCTGATATTTCAGACGAGA